TTCCATTTTTCTAGAGCATGATTTTACTCTTTTTTTCTCCAAGCCCCACTGCATCTTCTTTCTACCTTATTTTTAACAGAGCTTTACATCACTGAAAAAATAAGAGCAATAAGAAAATCTCTACCACTTAACTTGCGTCTGTACCCCTAACTACATCTGGGCCCTTTCATGCTATTTTCTTTCCTACTCTATCACTAAACTCTTGACTACACTCTTGTCTACAGCCACTCCTGTGATTGTCCGTAAATCTTATCCCTTCATATATAAGAAAGTTGCTTCAAAAATTCTTTCTTTTCTAGTATCATGAAAATTTTCTTTGCTAGGTTTCTACTCTCAGAATTCATTTATTTGGAAAATATTTGTTGAATATCTTCTATGTGTTAGGCCCTAAGAATATGTCAGTGGTAGACCAGACATGCTGGTGCATGCCCATAATTGTAGCTACTCAGGAGGCAGAGGCAGGAGGCTTGGTGTTCAAAGCCAGCCCAGGCAAAGTTAGCAGTCTTACCTCAAAAACAAAATACAAACAAACAAAAACAGAATTGCCTGTAGAGCCTATATTCACGTTGAGGAGATGGGCAGTAAACAAGAAGGATACTACATAAGTTAGTCATCTCACATGCTAGATGATGAGGTGTTACAGAGAATAAAAAAGTAGAGCAGATGAGAGTTGTGCAGATTAGCAGATTATCAGGGAATGGCCACAGTAGACTTGACTATGAAAATTAGATTGGTCTGAGACTTGAGAGGGAAGGAATGAACTTTGGGTGTGTGAGGGAAAGGATTCCAGCAGAAGGCGCAGCTGTACAAAGTGTGTCATGCGGAGGAAGCTCAGGGAAACTGACAGGCGGCCCAAAAGAGCCCTTGGGGAGGAGGCCAGAGACTGGGGGTGGGAGAGGGCCGTCCACTCAGGGCCCTGGCCAGTTATCCCAGGGCCTTTGTCTTCTATGCTTAGTGAATGGAAACACTGCAGAAGTTTTGTATTTTCAGATTCCTGACTGCTGTGTTGAGAATGAATTGCAATGAGGGGCAAAGGAAGACCATTAGGAGGTTTGGAGAGATAATGACAGCTGAGTTTGAGGCAGTGGAGGTGGTGAGAAGTGGTCAGAAACTTAATAATTTTGAAACACCCGCAGGATAATCCAGAATCTGAATGGATGTTATGTGAGAGAAGAGAGGACTTCAGTGCAATTTCAAGGGCTTTTGCTTCAGCAGTTGAAAAGATGGAGGTGTAATGGAGAAAGCCATGGTAGCGGTTGGCAGGAGGAGCAAACATGGAGGAAGCAAGATTCCACTTTGAGATGTGTGCAGATGTCTTAGAACATAGTTTCTGTCTTTAACTTACGTGGCCTCTCGATATCTCTGAATTGGAAGAGTCTAGCTTTAAGACAGCTAGGGAAGTTAAGCATTGGACAGTGAGAATTTGAAGTAGAATTGCATAAATGGAAAAAAAAACAGGTAAAGGTAGGTATCACCAATATCAAAAAGAAAGATCACTTCATGGTTCAACCTAGGTGATGGAAAAATTATGAACGTTAGGAAGAATGAGTTCAGGGGGAAAGACGCAATTTGATTTTTGGTGTGACACCAGGAATTCAGCAAGGTGGAAATGTCCACTTGATAGATTTTTTGTTATGCTGTGGACTGAAGCCCAGGCCTCACATACGCTCAGTACTTTACCACTGAGCTGCACCCCAGTTCCTGACATGGAGGTAAGTCGGATTTTGATACTGGCAGACTTGTGCACTGATGGCTAAAAGCATGAAAGATTTTTGTTAAAGGTGAAGAAAACTCAGTAGAGAGCCTTGACTGAACTCTTTCAGTGTAAAGAGTCAATAAAGAATTAGTGTAATGACTTGAACATTTAAGATATAGTCCTGCGCTTACTTTATCCATTTCCATTTATCTTTTAAAATCGGCTCATATGTGCATCCAGTCATAATAGCTAGTATTCATTAAAATTTATTACTTAAGAATTGATTATTGATCCCCATACCAATTCTATGGTGTAGATAGTTATTGTTTCTCACTTACCTTTTGAAGACCAGAGAGATGAACTTAGCCTAAGGTTGTATGGTTACTGGCAGAAAAAATACTAAACCCAGCACATTGGCATCAGACATGGTTTTAGCCATCTATGAAGTCTTCTTAGACATTCTTAACAGGACTTAATTCCCTTTTTGACTGACTGGTTTTAGTGGTTGTGGGTTCTAAGAGTTACAGGCAGTTTTTCATATTGAAAGGCAGGGATAAATGGAATCTTTCTTAAGATGATAAATAATGCTACATAATACTATGCGAAGTGAAAAACAAGGCATAAAGTGCTAAGTCATGAGAATACAGAGAAGAAATGGTCATGCTAGGTAGGACCTGAGATATAAAAAGTTTCATGGAAGAAATGGTATTTGATTGGGACTGTAAAGAATAGGTATTATTTTGACAGATGGAGATTGCATATGGACAGGGATAGAATAAAAGAGAGCAGTAACAGCTGGATCAAAAGTATAAATACAAGAATGAACTAGATGTGTTTGGGGAAAATTGAAGAGTCCTCTTTAGGTGGTTGAACTAGGTTGGAAAAGAATACTGAACCAAGGTAAGGTTGTAAGTTACCTTGATCAGAAATCCATGGAAAGCTGTGAGGTTGCACTGTGTTTTATTTAGAATAGTATTCTATAGTTGTCAACTTTTTACTTCCTGGTTTAAATACTTGTGTATTTAAAGAGATACTTTATATTTTATTTCCAGAATGCCAGCTAAT